CCACTAGGGACCACAACTAGCCCCTGCACATGGTCACACATACCACAAATGGTCACTGTGACTGAGGTCAGCTCTGTCTGGACAGCTGGGCCTTCGGTGCAAGCCACTCAGCCCATCTGGAGGGGATTAAGGTCCCAGCCAACAAGGTCAGCTGGCTCCTTTCTGGCTGGAGCCCTCTTGGCCAGTGCCAGGAGCCACAGGGCTAGGAGAGGAGTGTTGGGGGAGGAAGGAAGAGTATACCGAAACACAGGTGGCCTTTTTGGCAGCCCCAGTCCTGGCTTTGGGACAGTCTGGCAGTTTGCAAAGCCATTTGCCTCTGTGGCCCGCCCCACTGACCCTCAAGAATGACATCTGAAGCTCAGAGAGGGTAAGATACTGGCCTCAGGCTACTGAGCACCTCTTGTTCTCTTTGGGGTCTTAAGACCACCGAGGTCTCCTCCTCCCCGAGGAGGCCCAGGTATAGGGGCACTTTACAGCCCTCCATGCAGTCTTCCTTCTGCCTTGTGGCCTCCTTCCCTTCTGGCACCAGGTGCATGGCTGTGGGATTCTATAAACTGGTTCAGAGGAAGGATGTAGGGCCATGAGGGTTGGTTCTCATGGGAGTGCATGCATTTTCTAAAGAGGACAAGGCTGAACAAGGAGAAATCATGTTCGGATGTGATTGTAAGTGTCTGCACCATCCCCTCCCTTGCCAGTCCCTTGCAGATGTGGTCCCTGCCTATGGGGCTTCAGCAGGACCGTTCTGAAGTAGCTGAGGGTCAGGATCATTATAAACAGAGCCTCTGGGTCGGGGTACTTAAGTAATATCTCTCTGGGGTTCAGTTTCCTCATCTGAAAAATGGAGCAACAATGGCCCATAGAGCAAGGACCATTTAGGTGATTAAGTGGAATAATGTTTGTATCATTGCTAAGCAGAGTAGCGCAGATGTGAAGATTATTTTGGCTCCTGGGAGAGCCAGATGGGCCGTGAAAAGGGCTGAAGGGAACAGGAGCAGGCTGGAGAAACAGGGTCTATATGGAGCACTCAAATCCAGGACACTTCCACAACACTTAGGGCAACCTGTTAACTTATTTGTTAAGAAACTGAGTCCCAGAGAGCAGTTTCTCCTCTTTACACACCCTCACCCCACCCCACCTAGGTTGTTTATTAAGCATTTGCTATGTGCCAGACACACACACATATATGTATGTGCACCATCAAGTTGGTTCCAATTCATCGTGATCCTCTATAATGTTTCCAAGGAGCTGCTGCTGGGTTTGAACTGCCATTGAAGTCCAGTGCTTATCCTTCAATGCCATACCAGGACATTATAAATATATATGTTAAGTGCCATCAAGTCGGTTCTGACTCATAGCAACCATGTATAGGGTTTCGAAGGAATGACTGGTGAGTTTGAACTGCTCACCTTGCAGTTCAAATTAACCTTGCGCTTATCCTACAGTGCCACACCAGGACTCATACAAATGAGTCCTGGTGTGGCACTACAGGATAATGTGCTAGACTGCAAAGACGGTTTGAACTACAACATTGGCGGTTCAAGCTCACCAGCTGCTATTTGGAAATCCTATACAGGGTCGCTATGAGTCAGAACCAACTTGATGGCACTTAAGAACAACATATATATATATATATATATATAGTGAGCTCTGGTAGCGTAGTGGTTACGAATC